GTTCGGGTAATGAGTGGTAGAATGCATGGTAAAATTACACATCCAACTGCGATGACACCAACCAATGCCACAATGGCTTGAAGCCCTGGCAGTTTAGGGAACCAAGAACTGAATATTTGGGTAAGGTCAAAACCTTTCCACTTCTGGTCAGCGTTGTGGGTTAGTTGTCTCATTTCAGTAGTTAATTGTTTAATAACCTCCCCAGTCTCATCAATTTGTAGACAGCAATTGGAAAGGTTAAACGTTCCACACACACACCTCCCTCCTTAGCTAATATGTAACCTAAAGCCAACCTATTTTGATATACAGCAATCCTGAGCTGATCTGTTGATTTAGATAAGATATTCAAAGCTTTGTCCACTCTTTTACCAGCTAAATCCAGGACTGCCTGCAGTCTAATAATTCTATTGATCATCAGTATCATTTTGCCACTCATCTGGTACATTCCCAACACTGTCCTTACCAATAATTACTCTATACAGGTACAGGGAATTAATGACAATACTAATCAGCAACAGCAACACTACCACCCAACTAGGTGGCATGAGGCCCTTTCTAATACAGGCAGTTTCTCTCATCCTTTAGCCGGGTTCCATACTTAGAGAAACCTAACGCTAGCTGCGCGATCGCAGCTTCCAGGGCAGGGGGTTTTGTTGCCCGTGCGCTGGGTGTTAGCTTCCAGAGTAACACCTGCAGGGGTTGTCTTCACCTCTCCCGTTCGCAGGGGTACAGCTTCCGGAGCGTCACCAGAAGGAGAGAGGCTCCTTCCTTTGCCTAGAGTTAGCTTAAGAGGGTGTGTTAGGGGAGAACAAATAACAACAGTATACAGCCCTTTCCACTTGGGGCTTAAAAACTTCCCTTTTCCAGTCCTTCACCCAAAGCTCTCGTCCTGGATGTATATCATGTGTATGTGTAACCAGGACATGGGGCCTTTGGGCCAAGACATATTGTTGCAGCCTCTGTACTACTGTATTAAGGGCTTGCAGTTGTTTCAATTTGACAGTATCTGCCACTGGTCCAGTGTTCTGGACATTCGGCCTGAGTAAGTTAGGGACTCTGCCATATAATAATTCAAATGGTGACAC